CTATCTCAGAAAGGCACAAGAAAGATAGTCACAGAAGGCAAGAGACTTAGGAACCCTATAATGAAGGCAGCAGCAGTAGTGCTTCTCTCCCCTGTTCACAGCATAAGATGAACAAACACCTAGGCACTACCAGCTGTATAGAATAGGCTCATAGGGGGAGAAGAGAGAAGGTGCCACATGATTGGCCAATGGCCCAGTGCCTACACATGAAGAGGGGAGAAAAATAAACTAGTACTGCACAGGGGCAGAGTAATTTATAAAAGCATTTGAAGAATGTCTTATCACTTAGATAAAACATTGCAAATTGATTCTTCCTCAATGACATTACTGACCCTCTCTGTTCTAAGTAGTTATTTAAATCTAGTGGATGGGGGTGGGGAGTGAGAGGTTGGAGGCAGAAGCAAAGCATGCAGCAACAACCAACTTCTTTCTCTCAACTACATACACTATATAAAATGTTCAGACTGGTCCTTCACTTGAACCTCAGCATGATACTTGCTTATTAGCACATGCAAAGGGTGCTCCTGCTGAGAACTTTTAAAAGATTTTTATTATACAGGTTTCAAAAAAGTTTAAGGGAGAAGAAGTGTAAAAATGAAATCTAAGGCTGTAGGTAGAAGAGGTGAAATAGTGTAAAGCTACTATGAAACAAACTGGTAAGAAAGTGTAGTGCTAGCTGGCTGGTCTCACAGTTTCATAAAGGACAGGTTCCAGTGTTCAATAGAAAACAGACTAAAATGTTTTATTTTACCAAACCGGCTAAATTTAGCCCATGAGCAGTCAGAGTTTGGACAAACATCAGCTGCTTAAAAGATTCCACTGAGCTCATTTGTAAATGATGGTAAGTGAGTTCCAGAACTGACCAGAGGCACAGGGGTTGGCTTCTCCCAGGTATGGGAGTGTTTCGAATAGTTGAGTCTGGGGTTTCAAGGTTACTAAAGCCTAGGCTTAATCAGCAAAAAGGTACAGTCAACATTCCAAGGCTTCTTGGCCCCAACTGCCTGTGCCATAATAGATGAAAACTTTCTCAATCTGATTAATAGTAATAGTAGTGACTTTAGCTACAGAGCTGAGTGCCTGAAAGCCATGGCTCTTTAAATACAGAGATTTCAGTGGACTTGACATTTCTTGAGCTTAACCCTCAGTCCAGCTGACATGAACTCAGATGACTCTGAGGTCAGCTAGAACCTTTGGAATTGTGTATAGATTAAGGAACAAATATGGAATGCATGGAAACCAAGAGGCCTCAAAAGAAACTACTGGCCTATCACCTGCACAACAGAACACAGAGGCAGCATTCCACAGTTTCCAGGGACCACAAGCCTGTTCTAATGTGCATGTTATGATTGAGATAACTAGTTACAGGAAGATTAAATTTGTCCAAGGCCTCCAAACCTCTTGTTTTATGCTTCTGTCATGGGAAAATGGGAGGTGTTAAATGGGAAACAACAAATCTTTGAAACAATATGATAAAAAGAAAGCTAAAACAGTTTTGAAGAAAGGATTTGCTGGATCAACTTGCTTAGCAAAAATGAATATTAAATTCAATTATGTCTGAAAAGAAAAAAAAAAAAAAATCAAGATATTCAATAGAATTAGATGAGAAAATTTCACATTATGCAGCTGTTCAGACCAAGAAAAGTATGACCCTGTGCAGAAATGTTTTATAATGAATGCATACCATTCATATTAATACACTCTGCTCTCTGACTTGTCTACGAAACTTACATACAGTCTAATGAAAAATTCCCATTTCTGTCATTTTGACTTGTAAGACTTTATTATGGTAACATATATAAACTTCTACATTGGGTTCCTTGAGATAGTTTTTGAAACAGAATGGATAGATACTAGGGTTCTTGTTTATACATGTTTTACAGTGGTTTGATTTCTAGTTTTATATTAATGCATTAGACTATGTAAAAAGATAATTAAACACTTCAAATAGTTTCTGTAGTTCATGATGCACATTGTAATTAATTTGAAAGGTCTTTAAATAAAAGCTCATATCAATTTGTGATTCTACTTTATAAAATCTTGGTATTTTTTGTTAAATATTTTCTTGATGAATATAAGCTGGTGTATTCAGAACATCCTAACAAAACCAAAACCCTCACTAGCAGCATGAACTAATTATGCTAATAGATAGTTACATCCTATTTCAATTTCTATTAATAGCTGAACACTAAAAAATTAGTTTTGGTGCTCAACTTGAACAGTTTGCTAATAGACTTTTATGGAGAGATGACTGCATCATAAAGCTGTATTTCTCATTAAAAGACTAGTTTTCTCACACCTAACTTCTGAAAAACCAAACTAATCCCATGACATTTTCAGATGCTGTACTTCATCTCAGGTTAAGATTTTTTTTTGAGAGTTTGGGATATTTGGCTACAAATGCTACATTTCTCTTACAATAAAGGACCTGTTATGATCTGCAGCTTCTTTATCTCACTGACAGAAATAGTCCTCTGTTAATCATGTGAAGTAATAAATACCTATTATATTCAACATTTAGAAAACTGTCACCATTTAAATTGCTGCTACATGCACAAACTAGATTCACTGATCTGCAAATATGCAGAAATTGGGAGACATTTCAATCAATGTGACAAACTATAGTATGGCTTCTGACATCCCAACATTCCAATGTGTTCATCATACCATGTTTTCACAGGTCCCCAGTAAATTACAATGCAAACATGTCTTGACAATTGTAATTTTATGACATTTTGCAACTGTCTGATCTCTTGTGTGGCTTCTGGGACAAAACATAGGGTGATTCTTCTCTCTCACACCCTTCTTGGCTATTTGGAGCAGGAAGTTTGGCAACTCTAGATTAGTTCACGCTGCATTCACTAGCCTTGTGTGCCAGGAAGAATGGAAAATGAATGGTCATCAATCCACTTGCTTTGTCTGAAATGTCAATTCCATGCAATGCCCTGAAAAGCCACACGATGATTGCTAGCATAGTGATCAGTTTTAGGATACAGTAGGCAGATTACACCGTGGTACAGCCTGAACCTTCCGCCCCACCCCCACCACAGCAGACACTGAAGCAGGAAACTAAAAACCTTGTAATGAATTGAATGAAATTTTAAGCACTAAAAGAAAGACAATTTTTGTTTAATGGTGATTCCCATCTAAGATAAAGGAAAACAGTTTTAACAGAGACAAAAATCAGGCATTATCAGAAACGTAACAATCTCCACAATGCAGTAGATAATCTCTATGTATTTTCCCAATATATTAAAATACAGCTTAGATC